ACAGAATCTTGTTATACTTAGTGAAGTGATTTAAACATTCGGATGGAACTTCCTATAATAAGACGTATATATACTTCATTTTTTAACATTTATTGTGGTCCCTCCTAAACGTATTGTAGTCCAAAAAGCTTAATGTCGGTTATCAGGGTGTCTTATGGTAAGTGACACTACAAGATTTGCAATGAATAATTCCTTTTGACATACGAAGTATGATTCGAATTCATAGAATGTTCACCATATTACACAACAATGACATGAACCAGCGCCTTGATATCCGATTCCATATTATTCAGTGACAATAAGGAGCTTCCAGGAAGGTGATGGAGTCTAAAGCTCAGATAAGCTGATGATTTTCCCACTACAAATGAATGAGGAACCGTACAAATTAGTGGAGGTGCTCCGAGTCTAGAGTTCACTGTGAACATCGCAGTTGCTGATGACTATGTAGTCAGGCGATAAAGATTAAGACAGACGTTAGAATGATAAACAAATAACCATCCGATAGTGGTATAGTGAAAGGAAAATTTTCAGTTAAGAAGTATAAGTGATGATCAAGTGATGATAAGTGCGGATCATCATCTGGTACGACTCACTAGTACTGCTGCTATGTCCCATTGCATATTCACCAGTGATGTTATTATTAAGCATGTTCAGGGTGGCGAACTTTAGGCTGAGAAACAGTGTGACTTGGAGGTAGGCCATTCTGGCTTGATTACATTTTCTAATTGGAGGGAAATTTCTGAATGTCTCAAGCTAATGTTCTTCGGAATTCTACATCTGTCAATAGGCCTTCGTATGAGGGTAATTTGTGAAGGTTAATCATTATTGAAATCAGTAGAATGATGGGAAACTAGACTGAGTAATTCCCTGGAACATAAGAAACATACGCTACAATGGGAAGATTGCTTTCAGCAAAGAAATGTGAACCACTTTCATTTTTGACTGAAAGGAGTAGTTTCTTTACATCAGAAGGTGCCACACACGTCTGTTTTGGCCTACGAAAGTATTTCACTACACATCTTATTCAAATAAGTCGCCAAAAATCATGTCAACAACATGAGCTTTGTTATCTGCGTATGCAAAGAGATTGCTTAAAACCCAAAAAGCCCTCAACAAATACTGACAGAAATATTTGTTAAGTGCAATCGAATATCTGCTGTTCGGCTTCAAAATTACTTTGTCCAGTCGACAGTTTGCATCACAATCATCAAGTCAACACAAAGAGTTCAAGTTAGAATGCACCCGTTGTCGTCCTTTAAATATGTTTTGCTTATACAATTACATAACGTACAGACTTATAGTAAACTCTGGACACTATTCAGTGAGAACATTTATCTAGTGAAGCTGTTCATCAGCAGATCCCCTTTAATCATAGATTAGTATGTATAGAATGATGAAGTAAAAAAGATCGATTGTGCAATATTGTTATTTATTAGTAGGCTTTGAGAAAATTGTTTGATATTACAGAGTCCAACACCACATGTTATAAGTGAAAGTAAAAAGAGTGTCTATTATTTTTTGTCGTGTAATACGAAAAAGTAAAATTGTTCTTCTTTGAAATGATGCAAGAGAATAAGTAATTCAGTCACCGCAACGCGAAGATAGGCCAAAGTAACTGCTAGGTGGATTCACAAAAAAAACAAGAATTGGATGTTGATTAGTGCGAAAAATGATGACTTTAATCGAAACAATAGAATAAATTTACAAGCAAAATCACAAATGTTAGTTAAATGAATATTTTGTTAAGAAAATACTTTTGTAAAATGAAGCGAGAGAAATCTTGAGTGATATGATTTCAACTTTCCGAAAAATACAAATATTACAATAATTGTGGAAATTGAAGAAAAATTTTTTGCAAGTGAAATAAAAAATAAATGGAAAATTAAGCACAATAAATCGAAAAAAAAGTTGTAATTAACTTAGACTCACGAGAGAAAAACATTAATTTGAATTTAATAAATAGATTTTGACATGTTAACTAAGAAAATAGGAAAGAAAACAGACAGGATGTTTAGTCTGCGACAGAGAAGCACACGACAATTCATCAGTAATTACAACCGGGTGTGAGAGTGTCCTGACCAAGCAATTCAACACTGACTTCTGCTCACAACACGTGGTTGATGCTTTCGAATTCTGGTCTCCACAGTTTTGGCTTCCCCAAGTAGCCTCAATTACTGTCTACTGAGAGTTCAGTTATTCCGTTGAAAGTACAACGAGGAAACACTCTCATAAATATATCAGAGATGCAACGATTGAATTTATTCAGGATGCGCAAGATATATTGCAATTCATCATCAACTTTTTGACGAGGGTATTCATTGGAATTCACAATGTGAAATGAATAATTCTGCTGCATCTGTCCTAGTTATTACACTTATAGATTCCAGTTACTCATTGGGCATTAATCTGTATATGTGACGTCGGGTGAAATATTTTGTCGTGAGTGTAGCTTGAATATCTGGAATATTACCATCTGTATATATTCAGTCAACACATTTTGAGAGAACAGACTTTGATACTACATTCATTGGGATGAAACCACATATTGACTTACTTTGAATATCTTAAAATTATAAAACAGTATGTGTTGAAAAATGTTCACAAAGTTTATAATGTGGATAAATTAAATTTATTAGCTGTATATTTGCATGCAGATGATTGTTTACTCATGCGTTCACCAGCAGTTTATCGGGTGTATCCCACGATAAATCTGCTGTGCTTGCAATTTTCAAATCCATTTCCAGACACCATAGGACATTTCTTGAAGTGTCAAATCCTCATTAAGCTGATGTTTCAAATTTTACCAAATTTTTTTCTGTGTAAAATTATGTTAAAATACATTTTAAAAGAGATACATACAGCTAAAGTTCCTAAAAACTTTATTCAAAATAAATATATTCAAAAGGTTTTGTATGTACGTATATATTTGAAAACACTGGTTTCATAACAAAAAAATTGCCCCCTCATTCTTCTATGTGAAAGCATAAGCATATATCGGAATTCACTAGTTCACGATACTGGTTTGTGTCATTGCACAACGCTTTCATAATTTGTTCTGCCTATGCAGATCAGTTGTGTACACGTACTGAATTTCATTTACGAATGGTGAATTGAAACAGTCTGTTCAGAAATCAGTAACATCCTCAGAGTCTTTGTGATGATTGCTTCTATTTGTGATTGGCGTGATTGTCTACTGGCAAGATGGACGAGAGATTACAGACGAAAGAAGAAAGAAACTTTCATTCTCGACCGCAGGAGGTGACGTCTGGGTTTGAGAAGGACACGACAAGCTAGTAGTGATTACAACCGTGTCTGACAGTATGCTGACTGTGCAGTGCAACACTGGTTTCTGCTGACACTATGTGGTTGTTTCATCTGAATTCTCGTCTCCACCGAACTGACTTCGACAAATCGCCTGCATTACAATCTACTGAGAGATCAGGTGTTCCGTTATGGGCACAGAGAGTTACGCCCACCCGAACTTTTTAGACAGGCACAGTTTGAATTTACTCAGCATGTGCCGAATGACACTACACACCTTGTCTGTATCCTCATATTCAACATATTTGAAATTTCTCACTCTGATGCCTATTTCTGTTGCATCTACCTAGTAAATTTCATTTCTTGTTCCCATTTATTCATGTCAGCATTCATCAGTTTGTTTATGTCACGTCGGTTGAAACATTCTCTCCTGAGTGTATCTTGACTCTCCGGAATACTATCATCCATATATATTTAGTCAACACATTTTGAGCGAACAGACTTTGATACTACATTCATTGGGATGAAAGCACGTATTCACTTATTTTCAATATCATAAAATTATTTATGTGTTTGTTGGAAAATGTGCACAAAACTTCATCCTGGATAGTCTGATTTGATCAGCTGTATATTCGTAATTGCATGGTGATACTTGTGTACTGATACTTTCACCAGCAGCTTATCGCTTGTTATCCACAATTACTCTGCTGTACTTGCAATTTTCAATTCCATGTCCAGACACCATAGGGCATTTCCTGAAGTGTGAAATCCTCATTAAGCCTTTGTTTCAAATTTCACCAAATTTTTCTGTGTAATATTGTGTTAAAAGTATAGATTTAAACAGTGATACTTACAGCTATAGTTCCCTGTCACTTTATTCAAAATATATAGATATATAAAATAAATGTAAATATTTAAAAGTTTTTGAATGTACGTATTTATTTCAATACACTGGCTAAATAACACAAATGCGCTACATTTGCATAGTTGCATAAACTCTGATTTTTGTGGATTAACTTGCCAAAAAGTTGCAAAACACTATTGCAATTATTTGCCTTTGAAACACTGAATATTTGGATATAAAACTGTTGACAGATAATACCTATAACTGTCTATTTGCAACTCTGTGCTTGTTTAACACTAACTAATAACTATAATTGTATATAATGAAGGATTTACATGTTCAAGTTTGCTCAAGTCAGTGAGTCTATGATTTTGGTATCATTTTGGTTAACTGTAATTGACTGTGATATTATTATTGTTGTTGTAGCTTGTTACCCTTCTTGTTGTGAATTATTTTCCCGTGCTGGTATTGTCCTGATTGTTTGATTCTCTGTTTTCCTGATTTTAAGGGGGGCAATACACAAGGTCGCTTCTCTCTAAATTATAATTTAATGTAATAATCCGCTTCTCAGTCATGAGGCTAGCAACCTTATTCTGAAAACAAAGCTGCTACAGAAACTTCACCCCGATGAATCTCTTTGAGACAAAAGAAAACGCCTGCGTGAGGACATGGACTGTCCGCACCATGTACGAGATTGGCGAAGCAGCCTGGATCGCAAGCGAGATGAAAAGATACAAAATTCAAGTACTGGGAATATGTGAAAGCAGATGGAATGGGAATGGACTCACCAAATTGTTGACGGGTGAGTCAGCTATCTACTCCGGTCACTCAGAAGATAACCACTCGCAAAACGAGGGCCTGGCTATCACGATTTCACCAACGGCAACGGAGTCCCTGATGCAATGAAAGGCGATCTCGCCCAGGATAATAACCGCCAGATTCAACTCCAAAGGAAGGAAAGTGTCAGTTATACAATGCTATGCACCGACAAACAACGCAGACCTCGAAACGAAAGAAGAATTCTACAGACAACTACAGGCAACAATGGACAAAACTCCAGCTGGTGACATTAAAATACTAATGTTAGACATGAACGCCAACCTGGAACCAGACAACACAGGAAGGGAACTCAGCATGGGTAGAGAAGCTTTTGAAAAAATGAATGAAAACGGAGAACTCTTCTCCGACTTCTATGCCTTCAATGAACTAGTGATTGGTGGCAGCGTATACAAACACAAGTATATCCACAAGGCTACATGGGTGTCACCAGATGGGTGAACCAAAAACCAAATTGACTTCATCTCAATCTCAAAGAAGTGGAGGCGCAGCCTGCTGGAAACAAAAGTAAGAAGAGGAGCAGACGTTGGCTCAGACCACTATCTCGTACAAGGGACAATCGCAATCAAATTACAAGCTTTCAGAGAAACAGGAGCTATAGATAGACCACAAGCCAAGTTCAGTACTCAAAAACTGAAAAACCATGATACCAAGGGCATCTTCACTGGAAGCATAAATGACAAAGCCGAGTCACAAATCAACACTAGCGAAGAGGTCAGCGTTGAGGAGCACTGGGACAACCTTAAAGTGGTTTTGAGTCAAAAGTGCATGGAAGTTCTAGGCAGAAAGAAGAGGCAGGACAAATTATGCTCCCGTCCATCCCAAGCAAAATACTAAGCCGCATCATCTAGGAGAGAATCAAACAAGTCCTGGATGTAAAGCTTCGACTGAAACAGGCTGGATTCAGGAGGAACAAGTCATGTATTGATCAAATCGCCACACTACGGATCAACAAAGCTTGGAATGGCAGTCACCTCTCTATTTCAACTTCATCGACTTTGAAAAGACATTCGACGGCGTTGATCGAGTGGTGCTTTTGCAGCTACTTCGCTACTGCGTGGTGCCGCCAACAATTTTACATCTCATCCAACAGCTGTAGGACAATGCTGCATGCCAAGTAATCCACAACGGGAAAATTACGGAACCCTTTGAAGTGAGAACAGGAGTAAGGCAAAGCTGCCTACTGTCTTTAATGATTTTCTTGGTTGCAGTAGACTGGATAATGCGACATACATTGGCGAGCAGGGAGGAAATAGGCATAAAATGGACCCACCGAAAAAACTTAGAGGATATGGATTTTGCCGCTCATATTTGTCTGGATTCCTACAAACTGGAAGATATGCAAGTGAAAAGTTACAAGATGGTAGAAGCATCCAGAGAAGAAAGGAATTCAGGTGAACATAAAGAAAACCGAGGTGATACAGATTCCTGGGCAACAACAAAAGACAACAATCAGCAAAAATATAAGGAACCTGAAAGGAACAACCTCTTTTACCTACCAACCTGTGAAGCATAGTTTCAACTACAGGCGGAAATCACGAGGATATCAAAGCAAGAACTGGAAAAGCAAGACAAGCTCGCACAACTCTCAAGTCTGTGCGGAGGTCAACAGCACTCAGCATCAAAAATAAGATCCGGATTTTCAACTCCAATGTGAAGTCAGTGCTACTATACGGATTAGAGACTTGGCGCGTCAAATAGAGCATCTAAAACAAAACAAAGACCTTCATTAACAGAGGTCTTCGCTCAGTACTCAAGATCGGATGGCCAGAGAAGATCAGCAGTAAGGATCACTGGGAGCGAAACAACCAGGAACAGAATGTGAAACACATATGCAGGAGGAAATAGAGAGTTATTGGCCATACTATAAGGAAAATCCTTGAGTGGAAACTCAAAGGAAAGCGGCGAGTTGGTCGACAGTGCAAGGAAAAAACGAAGAAAGTCATGTGAACAAGAGAAGAAACCGTGTAGGCAGACTTGGAACAAAACAAGGCACTGGAAGAGATCCGAAATAAATGAAGAGGCAAAAGTGAAGCCATATGATTCTACAAGAGAAAAAGGACATAATAACAAAAATCAAAAAAAAATTGATATCATGAGAAATTCAGCATTTTGCGATCACATAATGATGCTACTTGCTAGAAGATATGATGAAATCCCTATCCAGCAGAAATGAATGATAAATACGTTTAACAAAATATATTTACCATCATCGTAGTCTTCGTCTATTGCATTGCGAAAAGAAATAATATTTTCATGTATAAAAGTAAATTTGAAGAAATTAATGAAAGGATAAAATTATTTGAAGGCTAACGAAAAAATTTCACTTCCATTCTTCCTCACTGAGGACATAAGCAAACAGCGAATATCACTTGTTCACAATACTAGTTTGTGTCATTGCACAACGCTTTCATAATTTGTTCTGCCTATGCAGATCAGTTGTGTACACGTACTGAATTTCATTTACGAATGGTGAATTGAAACAGTCTGTTCAGAAATCAGTAACATCCTCAGAGTCTTTGTGATGATTGCTTCTATTTGTGATTGGCGTGATTGTCTACTGGCAAGATGGACGAGAGATTACAGACGAAAGAAGAAAGAAACTTTCATTCTCGACCGCAGGAGGTGACGTCTGGGTTTGAGAAGGACACGACAAGCTAGCAGTGATTACAACCGTGTCTGACAGTATGCTGACTGTGCAGTGCAACACTGGTTTCTGCTGACACTATGTGGTTGTTTCATCTGAATTCTCGTCTCCACCGAACTGACTTCGACAAATCGCCTGCATTACAATCTACTGAGAGATCAGGTGTTCCGTTATGGGCACAGAGAGTTACGCCCACCCGAACTTTTTAGACAGGCACAGTTTGAATTTACTCAGCATGTGCCGAATGACACTACACACCTTGTCTGTATCCTCATATTCAACATATTTGAAATTTCTCACTCTTATGCCTATTTCTCTTGCATCTACCTAGTAAATTTCATTTCTTGTTCCCATTTATTCATGTCAGCATTCATCAGTTTGTTTATGTCACGTCGGTTGAAACATTCTCTCCTGAGTGTATCTTGACTCTCCGGAATACTATCATCCAGATATATTTAGTCAACACATTTTGAGCGAACAGACTTTGATGCTACATTCATTGGGATGAAAGCACGTATTGACTTATTTTCAATATCATAAAATTATTTATGTGTTTGTTGGAAAATGTGCACAAAACTTCATCCTGGATAGTCTGATTTGATCAGCTGTATATTCGTAATTGCATGGTGATACTTGTGTACTGATACTTTCACCAGCAGCTTATCGCTTGTTATCCACACTGACTTTGTTGAATATGAATGATTCGGATCCATGTTTAGACATCATGTGGACGTCAGTATTTTGCGATCTCATAATGATGCTACTTGCTAGAAGATATGATGAAATCCCTATCCAGCAGAAATGAATGATAAATACGTTTAACAAAATATATTTACCATCATCGTAGTCTTCGTCTATTGCATTGCGAAAAGAAATAATATTTTCATGTATAAAAGTAAATTTGAAGAAATTAATGAAAGGATAAAATTATTTGAAGGCTAACGAAAAAATTTCACTTCCATTCTTCCTCACTGAGGACATAAGCAAACAGCGAATATCACTTGTTCACAATACTAGTTTGTGTCATTGCACAACGCTTTCATAATTTGTTCTGCCTATGCAGATCAGTTGTGTACACGTACTGAATTTCATTTACGAATGGTGAATTGAAACAGTCTGTTCAGAAATCAGTAACATCCTCAGAGTCTTTGTGATGATTGCTTCTATTTGTGATTGGCGTGATTGTCTACTGGCAAGATGGACGAGAGATTACAGACGAAAGAAGAAAGAAACTTTCATTCTCGACCGCAGGAGGTGACGTCTGGGTTTGAGAAGGACACGACAAGCTAGTAGTGATTACAACCGTGTCTGACAGTATGCTGACTGTGCAGTGCAACACTGGTTTCTGCTGACACTATGTGGTTGTTTCATCTGAATTCTCGTCTCCACCGAACTGACTTCGACAAATCGCCTGCATTACAATCTACTGAGAGATCAGGTGTTCCGTTATGGGCACAGAGAGTTACGCCCACCCGAACTTTTTAGACAGGCACAGTTTGAATTTACTCAGCATGTGCCGAATGACACTACACACCTTGTCTGTATCCTCATATTCAACATATTTGAAATTTCTCACTCTTATGCCTATTTCTCTTGCATCTACCTAGTAAATTTCATTTCTTGTTCCCATTTATTCATGTCAGCATTCATCAGTTTGTTTATGTCACGTCGGTTGAAACATTCTCTCCTGAGTGTATCTTGACTCTCCGGAATACTATCATCCAGATATATTTAGTCAACACATTTTGAGCGAACAGACTTTGATACTACATTCATTGGGATGAAAGCACGTATTCACTTATTTTCAATATCATAAAATTATTTATGTGTTTGTTGGAAAATGTGCACAAAACTTCATCCTGGATAGTCTGATTTGATCAGCTGTATATTCGTAATTGCATGGTGATACTTGTGTACTGATACTTTCACCAGCAGCTTATCGCTTGTTATCCACACTGACTTTGTTGAATATGAATGATTCGGATCCATGTTTAGACATCATGTGGACGTCAGTATTTTGCGATCTCATAATGATGCTACTTGCTAGAAGATATGATGAAATCCCTATCCAGCAGAAATGAATGATAAATACGTTTAACAAAATATATTTACCATCATCGTAGTCTTCGTCTATTGCATTGCGAAAAGAAATAATATTTTCATGTATAAAAGTAAATTTGAAGAAATTAATGAAAGGATAAAATTATTTGAAGGCTAACGAAAAAATTTCACTTCCATTCTTCCTCACTGAGGACATAAGCAAACAGCGAATATCACTTGTTCACAATACTAGTTTGTGTCATTGCACAACGCTTTCATAATTTGTTCTGCCTATGCAGATCAGTTGTGTACACGTACTGAATTTCATTTACGAATGGTGAATTGAAACAGTCTGTTCAGAAATCAGTAACATCCTCAGAGTCTTTGTGATGATTGCTTCTATTTGTGATTGGCGTGATTGTCTACTGGCAAGATGGACGAGAGATTACAGACGAAAGAAGAAAGAAACTTTCATTCTCGACCGCAGGAGGTGACGTCTGGGTTTGAGAAGGACACGACAAGCTAGTAGTGATTACAACCGTGTCTGACAGTATGCTGACTGTGCAGTGCAACACTGGTTTCTGCTGACACTATGTGGTTGTTTCATCTGAATTCTCGTCTCCACCGAACTGACTTCGACAAATCGCCTGCATTACAATCTACTGAGAGATCAGGTGTTCCGTTATGGGCACAGAGAGTTACGCCCACCCGAACTTTTTAGACAGGCACAGTTTGAATTTACTCAGCATGTGCCGAATGACACTACACACCTTGTCTGTATCCTCATATTCAACATATTTGAAATTTCTCACTCTGATGCCTATTTCTGTTGCATCTA